AGATGGGGTTTCACGGTATTAGCTAGGATAGTCTCAATCTCCTGACCTTGTGATCTGCCCACGTCAGCCTCCCAAAGTGCTGGGATTACAGGCGTGAGCTACCACACCCAGCTTCATCCCCAGTTTTGAAAACAAATTCCACCACAATCACAACAAAAACCTCTATTTAAGGCCAGGTGCAGTGGCTCACACCTGTAACATCCCAGCACTTTGGGAGGCCGAGGCACGTGGATCACTTGAGGCCCGGAGTTTGAGACCAACCTGGCCAACATGGTGAAACCCCATCTCTACTAAAAATGCAAAAATTAGCTGGGCATGGTGGCACGCACCTGTAGCTCCAGCTACTCAAGAGGCTGAGGGAGGGGAACCGTTTGAACCTGGGAGGAAGAGGTTTCAGTGAGCTGAGATTGCACCACTGCACTTCAGCCTGAGCAACAGAGCACGACTCTATCGCAAAAATCAAAACCTCTAATTAAGTGGCTCTGTGTTTGCAATGACATGGACATGAGTATGGGAGGTTACTTGTCAGAACATGTTACTTCAGAGGGGTGAGGATTTTTTGTGAAACTTGACAAGCTGTTTCTAAAACTAACCTGGAAATGCAAATGTGTAATGTTCCAGTTACATAGTGCTGTGTAACAAACTACTCCAAAACTTAGTGGCTTAAAGCAATGACAGCGTCACTTTTGCTCACAAATCTGTCATCTGGACAGAGTTGGCTCAGCAGGAACAGTTTGTCTCTGCTCAGTGTCAGCCAGGGCAGCTTAAAGGCTGGAGGCTAGAATCATCTGATGGCTCACTCACTCACATGTCTAGGGACATGCTGCTGTCTCTTGGACCTTCAGTTGGGGCTGGGGCCAGACCACCTGCACATGACCTTTCCATATGGCTGCCTGGCTCCCTTGCAACATGGTAGCTGGGTTCCAAGAGTGAGTGTTCCACGAGAAGAGCAGCAAAGGTGAAGGTGTGTCACCCGCTCCAGCCGACACTTGGCAGTCACACAGCATCACTTCCACCACATTCCAATTACTGAGGCAGTCACAAAGGCCTTCCCAGGCTCACGGAAACAGGGACTAGACTCCACCTCTTTATTTATTTATTTATTTATTTATTTATTTATTTTTGAGACAGAGTCTCACTCTCACCCAGGCTGGGGTGCAATAGCATGATCTCAGCTCACTGCAACCTCTGCCTCCCGGGTTCAAGCGATTCTCCTGCCTCAGCCTCCTGAGTAGCTGGGATTACTGGCACCCGCCACCACACCCGGATAACTTTTTGTATTTTTAGTAGAGAAGGGGTTTCACCATATTTGCCAGTCTGGTCTCGAACTCCTGACCTTGTCATCCA